GTGAGCTCAGTCATCCGAAAGATTGCCTAGTTCGAGTCCGCTCTGGAGGCCACGCAGGCTCGGGTGAGGTTCTTCGGGTAAAAATATGCTTTCGTACCAAGAGCCAGGGTCAATTTGGTGGCTATACCCTGACCTCGACTCCACTTCCTCGGCTAACCGGCCTTGGGAGAGCAATTGGTCTTGACCCGAGGCCGGAAACTCTAGTCGGCAGATGGCCCTTGGCTGGACGAGGCTCGACTTCCTCGAACCGACATGCAGAGATGCACGGCTTTTCCAACACCGAGCGAGCGAGACGCGCTGGACCGAGGCGGAGCACCTCCGAACGATCCTGTTTCTGGAATAGTCTGAGATCTTTTGCACGCTTAGAGACGAGGAAATGCAAACTCTTAAGGCATCCCGGGAAATTGCAACTACTTTAAGCGACCTCGGCTGACTCCAGTTCTTGTTCAACAATTAGACAAAGGTTGAAGATAAGTAGGCCACTTTTCTCTATCGATGAGCGTTTAGCCTGATTTGGTCTGCATCAGTGGTTGCCATGGTGACTGTGCGCTTGTCATGATGCCTAATCGAGTAAGACACCCCAACGACAGGGTCATCCTCAGAATAATTGGCGTCTTGCCCACTTGTCCGCGGTTTGTATTGACGTTGAATAGACCACCTCTGGACTTGTGTGATGTTGGAGTGACCAATCCGACGTTTTCTCATTGCCCCGGTTAGCCTCGTTGCACGATATCACATCTCAGGTCTTGTGAGTCTTATGACTTTTAGACATAGCGTGATGAATTCCGTGTCGTTAGTTGTGGTCGGCTTAGATCGGCCAGAAAGGCCCAATAGGATATATGAAGAAAAGATGGGTTTCGAAGATGTCTCTGACACTTTTCATTTCAGAAGAAAACTTGGTTGAAATGGGCGTGTGAATTGGCTGCGCCTGAAACGTCAGGATGATTGCTTCGAGGTGGAAAGTGCTGGATTGTGCGAACAGATTCTCTCTTCACCGGCCTGCAATTCTGATGAAACTGTGATAAACTTAGCCTTTTCATGTCAAAGCGAGAAACCAGAATTTATGGAAGAACA